GTGTGTTTGTGTGTGTGTTGTGTGTTTGTGTTGTGTGTGTGTTTGTGTGTGTGGTGCGTGGTGTGTCTGGTGTGGTTGTGTTGTTGTCGGCCTGGTTGGTGTGGGGGGGGTGGGGGGGACCTGGGGGACAAAGATTGGGACCACAGGGGGAAATAAGACTGACTTTTTTGGGTTATCCTGGGGGGTGACCCCCCCGGCCAAAAATTCAAACAAGTCTTCATTTTATTTTAGCCCCTGCTTCCCTGTTATTAGCAAGGGAAAAATCCCGGAAGTTATCTGCCTGGGGGTCGCACCCGGGGGAGGACTTAAATTACCCTAATGGTTAAGGAACACTGCTGGACTTTCGGGGGTTTTATCCAAATTATTAACCGCCGGGGGTTTAAAAATTTCAAATAAAATTAACTAAACCCTTTAAACTATATAAGTTTTTTTTTTTAGAATCCCCCTTTAAAAAAACCGTTTTCTTAAAACATTACTGAAAACAAACACTTAAATTTTATGGATAACTAAAAAAATAAAATACTTTTTCTAATACCTACTACTACTACTATAATAAAAATAATAATATTTTTTATTTCTCCAAGTACAATACAAAGTCTATGTCCTAGTGACATCAATGAGTATTAAATAGAAACCCATTATAGCAGAGCATTTTCCCGCATATTATGTCAATTTTGCCCTAGGATGAACCCACATCTCCATTAACCCCCATTACATATTATACTGTGGGAACTAACAACCGGGTTAAGGAAACACCCAAAGTTTCTCCCTCTTTCCGGAAAACGATCCCGGCCCCTTCGCCGTGTAAAGCGAGAATTTTTAGCCCCCACCACTTTGAACAAGTTTTCTTTCGGAAATCGCAGACTGGCTTAACCCCACCAGGGGGGGGTTATTTAACCTATTTAGTCACCCATCGCCCCTCACCCAGGCCTCTTACTGCTAGGTGAAAGGAGCCAGCGATCAAGGAAATATTTTCTCTCTCTTTATCTAACATTTTCATCGCCCGGGGATCAAACCAGGCCCTCAGGTGTGTGAATCGAAGCCGCTACCAACCGAGCCACAGACCATGGTTATTTATCTAAGGGTAGCTCTCCATTCTGATTTTTTTTCTTTTTTTATACAAATATTTTTTTTTTTACTTAAAAAGAGCTAAAAATTACAATGGGAATTTATTAAGGTATTAAACCCATTTGGGGAAAATTCGTCTGGCTGCTCCATGGAGTTGTCTCCCCCTAGAAAGCTCTTTTTTTTGACACCGGCCCCAGGTGGACCTCACCTCCAAGTTTTATGACACATTTCCATAAAGACTGATTTTGCAAGAAATTTTCCTGCATGACGAAAAAAGGACTAATTTATTTGGGTGTTGGAGAAATATATCCCGGTCTTCAACCTCCCTAAGCTTTACCCCCTCGGGGACCCCCCCTTAAAACCCACCCATGCACCAGGAACCTTAATTCCTGGAATATTCATCATTTAGTGACCTCCTCACCTCAAAATTCCTTTTTCCAAGGGGTGTGACCCCTTAGAAAACTATGCAGAGGACACTGTTCTTTAACAACGAGGGGACGCGGGGGCAAAGGTCTGGGGCCGTCCGATGTACAAAGCCCACACTAAACTCCTCGAAATTTTCCCCCAGAAATGGCCAAAATTCTGGAAAGAAATGGAGGTCTTGTCTTACTGTATGGCCGACGGGGGGAGGTCATCTATGGTAGTTCGAGGGGCTTCCGCCAGATTTCCCCCGGTCAGATGTGAAGAAGTGGGCGCCCCCCTGTGTCACGGTTGGGGGCCCGCCGGAGTTTTTTGACAAAGAAAGTCACTGCTATCTCAAAACCCCGTGCCTCACGTTCAAATTTTGGGTGCCAGTTTTTTCCCTACTAAAAAAACCTGGGTTTTTCCTATTTACCGGCCTTTATACTTACGTTTAAGGGTTTTTTATCACATTATTATTATCTACAGTTACCTCAATAAACCTAATATTGATTACTAACATTTTAAAACTTCCTACCTTTCCCCGAAGGATAAACTACCCAAAAAAATGTACCTTCCAGCCCCCTTCGCTAACCCCGGGGGCAGTGTGTGCTTTGGGGAGATTAAGGGCCCGCAAAATCAGACGCCATCCGTGACAAATTAGGGGTTCATACGGAAATTGGCCCTTTTGGAAATTAGGACTGAAAAGTTTCCACATCATTCATGCAATTTTTACGAGGTCTTTAGCACACAGGGATATAGGTAAAAACATTATATTAAACAATAAGTGTTAGGGGCCCCCAAAACTGTTAAAAAGCCTCCCGCAAACATAAAGGGGGGTTTCCGATAGACCCCTTGGCTCTTTAAGCAGGCACTGGACAAGCACCCAAATCAGTACCTGACCAGCCGGGCTGTGGTTTTATCGTTTGGATTGCAGTAACACCTGGTTGATCAGGCCCTGACCCCATGAGGCCTGGTCACGACTGGGCCGCAGGTCGTTGAACCCCTAACTCTCTCCCGGTAAATCCAGGTAAAATCCAGTACCTGGTCTACTGGAGAAGGTTTTGGGGGGGCAAAGCCCCCCCCGGCCGGTCGGATCAAACCTCGGGTTGATCAGGATTGATCAACAGGCTGTTACTGCGGGGGCCCCGCAAAACCCACTACGAGCCACAGTCCGGTGGTCAGGTACTGACTTTTGGGCCTGTCTAGGGCCCTTTTTGAAGACACTAGGGGCTATTGGGGCTTTTTCGTACTTATACGTGCGTGAAAGTTATCTGTACGTTCTCCAGGGCAGCGGTTTCGCCCGCTTGAAAGGGGCCGTTAGTGTACAGGGAAAAGGGATGGGGGAGGGGTTCCCTCCTCCGTGAGACGACAGTTTATACTAATTAAACATAAGTTTACATTCAAAAATAACTCGCAGGATAACCAGTAAAGTCAAACACTAGGGCCCTTCTCCACTAGGGCCCCCTTCCTCGGGAAAACCCCGAAGGCTTCATTTTGGTTATTTAAAGGGCCCCTCAATTAAAATTGAGATTTCTTCGAATATAAGTCCACAATTGGAAAAAACCTCAAAAAAATATGGGTTTATTTACTGGGGGGTTTCCTGAAAACCCTTTAAATGTGACTTTTTGACCACCTTCCGTGTGGATGAGAGTTCTGGGTACGCCCCCAGACTGGGTAACACTCAGGCAACTCCCGGGGCCCTTTACCTACCCCCCACGACGACCCTTTTCCCACCCAGACCGCGACAACGATCTCTACAACGAGGCAAAATGCGCCCCCGTACTTCTCAGGCGGTGGTGGGAGACAGGGGGTAAACCCCTTTGGGGTTTTTTAGTGCCCGGGGAAAAAGGTGGGAATCAAGTTTGATAAGGAAGGAGAGGGGGGTAAATTCTTTGGCTCAAGACCCCTTTTCAGCATCAAGGCCTGCTGGGGTAAACTTTTTTTAAATTTCAAAATATTCTTTAAAAAAAAACATAAGGATTCGTAGAGGGTTTTATACAGAGATTTTGATAAGCAGTTAGGTTTTTGTGCACCTTATCCATCCCGGGACGGTTAGCTATTTATTTTGAAAACTACATTCAATTTGTTGCGGTTGCGGCTAGTTAATTGTGCAACTAACCACCGTGGATGGGGGAGGTAGTTTTTTTCGCTTTCACATATCCACCCATGTCGGGGTGGGTTTTTTGTCATCATTTATCCCTTTTTGACTGTAAGCACAAACATATGGTATACAATACACCCGGAAACTATGTTTTAAGAGTTTGCAAGAATGTTTTGGGGCCCGATTTACAATATAATGTTTTAGTTACCCGGGAGAGCCATCAAATAGGCGGATTCTTAGATTTAAGTACACGAAAGAACCACCTACATCAGTGCCTCTCAGTTACACGTCTCTTAATGCCTCTACCCTTCGGACAGAACTGTTTGCCATACTCCTTGCACTGAAATACATCTATGTATCAAAGATTGACAGTTTAATTGTAACTGATTCTCTGTCATCCATAAATGCTCTCAACTCATTAAGCATAAATTGTGGCATGCTTGTGTCAGAAGCCAGACACAGGTATGGTACGAGCCACAGCCCGGCTGATCAGGAACTGACTTTAGGTGCTTGTCCAGTGCTTGTGTGTGTGTGTGTGTGTTTGTGTGTGTGTTTGTGTGTGCGTGTTAGTTACCATTTTGTCCTAGGCACATGTCGATTAGACACTAGGCCTGTTGTATTTGCGAGTGTGTGTGTGTGTGTGTGTGTGTGTGTGTGTGTGTATGTGTATGAGTGTGTGTGTGTGTATGAGTGGGTGTGTGTGTGTACTCACCTATTTGTACTCACCTATTTGTGGTTGCAGGGGTCGAGTCTTAGCTCCTGGCCCCGCCTCTTCACCAGTTGCTCTTCACCGGTATGAGTGTGTGTGCGTGTGTGTGTATGAGTTTGTGTATGTGTGTGTGTGTGTGTGTGTGTGTATGTGTGTGTGTGTGTGTGTGTGTGTGTGTGTGTGTGTGTGTGTGTGTGTGTGTGTGTGTGTGTGTGTGTGTGTGTGTGTGTGTGTGTGTGTGTGTGACTCAACAATCAATATTTGCACCAATAACTCACTACAGTTGTGACCGGGTGTGGAAGTGTGAATTGCTCATTACTCTATAATTTGTTCATGATTGTAGCCATGTATAAACGTAAGTAACCATTCTTACAGTATTCATTACCTTTGTAACTTGTGAGCTCATTACCTTGTACCTAGTTCAGCCATCCAAACTTTGGGGCCCAGTCCCTGGATCCATTACGTACCTCTGTAATCTGTAAATACCTTTGTAACTTGTCATGATTGTGACTAGACCTACCCGGAGTTCATTACCTTTGTAATTTGTGAGTTCATTACCTTTGTAAATTGTGAATTCATTACCTCTGTAACTTGCTCAGCTATCAAAACTTTGGAGTCCAGTCCCTGGACCAATTATGTACCTCTGTAATCTTTTGACTACCGCCCACAGGATGGGTATGGGGTGCATAATAAACATATTAAACTAAACTCTTAATGCAGGTGCTACGACGCCCACCTGAACGGCGTGTTCCCGGTGACGCCTGACCGCCAAAACGCCTCCTTCATCACCTGGTGGGCCCACGAGAACGGCATGAAGGTACCCCTTGTCCTGAACAGTGTTGCGTTAAGAGTCAAGCCCCGCCTGCATTAAGCTCCTTTATTCTTTATTCCTGCCTAGAGAGATCTGAGGTCCTTTATCCCTAAACCAGGGAGCTCAAAGATCCTTTTTATCCCTGGCCCAGGGAGCTCAAAGATCCTTTTTATACCTGGCCCAGGGAGCTCCTGTACTAGGGAGATGCTGAACCATGAAGCTCTAAGGTACCTTTATCCCAGAACAAGAGAACTCTAAGATCTCTTGATCTCTGACGAAGGGAGCTCTGAAGTCTCTATACCCTGGCTTAAGGAGTACTGAGGTCCAATCCATTCCCAGTGTAGTTATTCAGAGTCCAGGGAACTTCTTTTGGCAAACGACTTAAGGGGGAAGAAGAGAGGTGCCCATCTCTTAGTGTATTTACTCTGAGAGATGAAGGTAGGTAGTAGGTTTTAAACATGGGAAACCGCCTGAACTACCCTACGTCAAATCTATTATGAAAGCAATTCAGTATTGTTGATAATGTCTTGTCATTTCGACAATGCATTTTTTTAACCAGTAATTCAAAGCGCGTGTGCATGTCTCTAAGGCCAAAAATCAATATATATTTTTCCACTATCTAAGAGGAACATCTCCACTGCTACTTTGCCAAGTGGTTGATGTGCACGCAAATATATATATACTTTTTTTCTAAGTGTAGATCCGCTACGTTGCTGGGAATAATATTTGCATTACCATTTTGGCAAGTTATGTAGTCACATCGCATTTATGCTATATAAATAATAAAAATTAAATACAAGCCATTGCCGTTTATTAATATCCCGAAAACTAATACCATTCGTCGGAGTGAATGTTTCCTGGAACCTAATACTGTTTTTTTTTTTTTTTTTTTTTTTTTTTTTTTTTTCTTTTTACACAGGGTTTGACAAGGTTAAGGATCCCTAGCTTTATTGACAAGCTAAGAGCTGTTACCTACATTAGCTCATTTGAAAGTATTTTTATTGTTATGAAACATACAAGTATTTTTATTGTTATGAAACATGCAGATAGGGAGCAGCATTTATTTGATCAACTAACTTTATCTAGTTGGCATCATAATGTTGTACGAATGTGTTCCAGACTCGAGTCATCCTGGGGATAAATGATCTCAGATAATGTGATGTTCTGGAGAAGGGTACAGCCAGAGTGAAGTTGCTGCTTTCTGCCCGTCTTGTGGTATAGAAGCTTGCTTCACGCTGTCCTCGAAGTGGATTCATGTATGGTACTTTGACAATATTGGCCTTGTACATAACAGTAAGGCCACTCACATCCCTCCTGTGTTGAAGGCTCTGCTGAAATGACAGATCTATCCAGGATTGGTCCAGGCAATGGATGAGATGTCTTGCTCTGTTCTCTACTCTGTCAAGCAGTCGCAGATGAGAGGGGGGAGGCAGGCAAACCAAGAAAGTGGAGGATACTCAAGGTGTGAGCGTACTTGTGCCTCGTACAGAATCTTGCAACCCCTACTGTCAAGCAGATGCGAGATACGGCGAAGTACTGTAAGCTTCCTGGCTGCTTTGTTTGCGAGATTTACAGCGTGGTTCTTCATGGTCAGTTTGGAGTCAAATTTCACCCCAAGGATATCAACTTCTTCCCCAGGTACCAACACTCTCTCATTCATCCTTACTACTGCACCAGCATTACCGTCATGGTGCCTAGAGATCATCATCATTTGCGTTTTCTCAGGTGCAAAATGTTACTTGCCATCTGTTTCCCCAAGCTGATGTAGCTCTTAGCTGGTGATTGATGTAGCTTAGAGCAGCTGGCATTTCTTCTCTTGGATAAGTGATTGTCAGTGTACAGTCGTCTGCATTATGCATGGGATTCTGGGATGAGATGAAGGTCATTGAAGTAGACATTCCATAACAATGGCCCCAGCACACTTCCGTGGAACACTTGCCCCAATAGGATGTCTTGCTGATTCCGTTCCATTGAGAACTACCCTTAAAGATCTACCATGAAGGTAATCACTGAGGAGACATAGTGCAAAGCTGCAATTCCCAGTGCTTGCAGTTTTGCCAAGAGGCCCTGGTGCCACACTCTGTCGACAGCACCAGTGACTGGTGCCATTTAGTGAAGTTTAACAACAGATCAGCAGCAGAGTAACCTTTCAGTCAATCAATCAAGTTTATTCTCTATAAGATTACAATGCGGGGTTTACGTATTATAGGATATTGTGTTGTTTAAATATTATAAAATACTATTTACAGAGAGGGCCACTATCTTGGAGAGGGTCGATGGTGCTCCTGCAAGCAACAGATCCTGGCGTAACCTGCTACTGTTTGCAATGGCTGTCTGGCTATCCTGCCGAGGAGGGACAGGCACCTAGCAACAACTGTTGTTGGGGCAATGATGCATTCCCTAGAATATTTGTTAATTGCTCATTACTCTAATTTGTTCATGATTGTAGCCATGTATGTACGTGTTCATGATTCATTACCTTTGAAACTTGTCATGAGTGTGACCAACTCCACCTGGAGCTCATTATCTTTGTAACTAGTTCAACTATCATAACTTTGGGGTCCAGTCCCTGGACCCATTATGTACCTCTAATTTTTTGACTCCCGCCCACAGGATGGGTATGAGGTGCATAATAAACATATTAAACTAACTAACCACTATCACACCTAGCATGACTAGGCATTTCGGGCAGACTGAGATTAATTCAAAACTCTATATTGGTACAGATTATGGAACATGTTGATATTAAGGATAAGTGACTGCATTACAGTTCGTAAATTTAGCTCCTATACTGGAGTATCTCAGGCAAACTTATGACTAGTTTAAGATTCATTAGGTAATAGTTTTATTACGTATTTCTATGTTTATAGTCAATTGGGTGAGTGTAAGTGTGAATTGTGGGGAATCACAGATATCGAGGGGAGGTCTAGATTGTTTTTTATGTGTATGATACAAGAGAATAGGTGGTTTTCATGTAGTTAGCTGACGATGGGATGTGTCAGGGAGATAATGTGTTTTCTAACGGTAGTTTTGAAAGTGATGGTTGTGTCTGCAGTTCTAGAGTTTTCAGGTAGGGTGTTCTAGATTTAGGTCTTTTTATGTACAGTGAATTTTTGTATAGGTTTAGCCAGACACGGGGAATGTCATAGAGATTTTTGTGTCTGGTGTTGTGCCTGTGGGTCCTATCGCAACTATCAAGAAAGTGTTTTAGGTCAGGTTTAAGACTGGAATTTAAGGTTCTGTAAATGTAGGTTGCACAGTAGTAAGTGTGGATGTTCTGTACAGTAAGTAAGTTTAGATCTTTGAATTATTATTATTATTATAATCAAGGGGGAAGCGCTAAACCCGGAGGATTATACAGCGCCTGGGGGGGGGGAATGTGGAAGGCATTCACGCTTAATTCGGGGAACTGGAGCACAGATCCAATTCCCTAAATCAAGAGCCCCTCACCAACATCAAGGAACCTTCCTTGAGGGGTTAGATCTTTGAAGAGGTGGGGGAAGGGGTTGCCTGGGATTGGATTGCGTGATTCTTACTGCAGCTTTTTGTTGGAAATTTAACTTGCTAAGTCTTCACTAAAATATATTCTAAAGTTGTGGTGTTGCAGTTGATTCCCAAGCACAAATAGCATAGGTGAGGTAGGGATAGATGAGTAAATAGTATAGTGTGAGAAGGGCTGATTGTGGCACATAGTAACGTATCTTGAGAGGATCCCAACCGTTTTAGACACTTTTTTTGTTATGTGTTAGATATGGGTGCTGAAATTCAGGTTGTTGTCAAGGTGCAGGCCTATGAATTTGCCCTCATCATGTCTGACAATAAGAGTTTTGTCGAAATTAATGTTAAGCTGTGCATCACTTACTCTGTTACCAAACATGATATAAAAGGTTTCGTCAGTGTTCAGTGTAAGTTTATTGGCTGTCATCCAAGTAGATATTTTGAGTAGCTCCTCGTTAACAATGGTGTTGAGTGTGGCAAGATTTGGCTGGGAGATGACATAAGTCGTGTCGTCAGCAAAGAGAATTGGTTTCAGGTGTTGTGATACGTTGGGAAGATCACTGACGTATAAAAGGAAAAGCAGGGGACCAAGGACACTTCCCTGTGGCACTCCAGTATCAAGTGGTTGTGTTGATGAGTTGTGTCTTTAATGGTGACATACTAATACCTATTAATAAGGTAGGATTTGAAATATGCAAGTGCATGGCCTCTTTTACCATAATGGTCAAGTTTGTGGAGTAGGATGCCCTGCCAAATTGGCAGGGGTTGAGTATGCTTTGTGCTGTTATAAACGAATATAATCTCTTGTGCACGAGTTTCTCGAAAATTTTGGATAGCAAAGGTAAGTTTGATATTGGCCTGTAATTGTTTACATCCGTGGTGTAACCCTTGCTGTCTTGAGTAGTGTCTGGAAAGTGTTATTTTCTAGTGATTTGTTAAAAAGTAATGGAATAGCATGCAAAGGACATGGGCCACTCACTTGTACAACAATGGTGGGGAGTGAGACAGGTTCCCTGAATTATTTTTGAGTGACTTAATAATAGTGGTGACTTCAGTGGGCTCAGTAGGTGCAAGATAGAAGGAGTTTGGGAAATTCCCATCTAAGTAATCGCTTAAACGGGCGTTGGTACCTGGGATTTTACTGGCAAGATTAGATCCTATGATTGAGAAGAAGTCGTTTATCTTGTTAACTTTATCAATGGGATGCAGTGGTGTTTCATTCGGTTTGGTTAGGACAATATCCTTAGTTTTTTTTCAGTTTGTGGGTTCCTAGAATCTGGGAAAGTGTTTTCCAGGTCTTTTTTATATCTCCTCTTGTGTCAGTGAATCTGCTGGAGTAGTACAATTGTTTGTCTTTTTTTTATTAGTTTGGTGAGCACTGATGAATAGTGTTTAATAATATCTTTGTGTATTAAGCCATGTCTATATTGCTTTTCATACTGGTGTTTCTTATCAATGGATTTCAGAATGCTGCTGGTTAGCCATGAGCAACTGAGCCGTTTATTCGTGATCTGTTTCGTTTTTATAGGACAATGTTTGTTGCATAGCCCAAGTAATTTATTCAGAAATATGTCTGTCCAATCGTCAATACCATCGGCCTAGGAGAATTCTGTAGGCCAATCAACTGTCTCTAGCTCTGCTGTGAATTACTTATTGAGGCCTCGTCATGGAGTCTAAATGAAGCTTTGTTGTGTTACAGTGATGGTTTACTAATGTTTGTCAGGAGGAAGGTAGGGTAGTGGTCAGTAGTGCTGTGTGTGATTATCCCTGATTTAAGGGGGGCTAGTATATTGGTCCATATGTGGTCTATTATGGTTGCACTTGCCTCAGTCAGCCTGGTTGGTTTAGTTACTGTTGGTATGAGAAGTATATGGTTCATATTGTTGATGAAATCAGTTACAGGCTGATCATCTGGTAGGCCAAGGTTGATATTGAAGTCTCCAGCTAAGAGAAGGTGGTGCTTGTTCATTCAGCTATTTTTTATTTTTATTAGTGTCTTTAATTTTTCACTGAAATTTGGGATGTTTGTGTGAGGTATCCGGTACATGGCACCGACTGTTATAGGTAGGTGTCTTAAGGTTTTTTACAGTAAAATTAGCAAAAATATATTCTCCATATTCATCACTATAGCAAGTGGTGCTAATACAAGATAGTTGGTTAGAGTAATAGATTGCAATACCACCCCCAACTTGGTTTGGTCTGTAGTTGTGAATTGCTGTGTATCCTGGTAGAGGGTAGATATGTATTGTGTCCTGCTTAAGCCAGGTCTCAGTAAGAATAATGCAGGAGAAGGGTGTCTTTAGTG